CGCTGGAATCAGGAAGTAAAGCTGAATAACTTAACGTGAATTTTTATGCAATAAAACTTTCTCATACTTTCACTTGAAATAATATCTCAATTTAGACAAAACAAAGTGGGTTTACAAAATCACATAAATCTTCTGTTGGCTTTTGTGTATTTTTTGCCCTTCACGGTTACATTCCTTCTGTAATAGGTAAATCTGAGATACTTTCCCATTATGAATTAAACGTAACCGTTTTCCGAAGTAGTGTCTGTCGTTCATTCGTTTGAGTTGTACGGATAAGTCTTTCATTTCTCGCCAAACGAGCTATAAGTTAATGTATTATAGATTAAGGGTGGCCGAATTTGTATACATATTAGCGACCCCTTTTTTTAATGATGTATTGCGATCTACCTACTAATCCTTAACAGTTAAAGCATGCCAGCTCGTGTCTTATGTACTTATAAATGACAAGGAAGAAACGGCGATTAAACCAACGTGGTATTTTGTTAACGATATTTATTATTTGAAATGAAAACAGCAAAAAATTATAAATTAAATTTTATTTTATTATCTTTTATCATTAATGAGAAGTCTGCGCCTATATATCTTCAACCAATCTGTCATAATGTGATGTGCAAGCAGAAAAGATAATGAATCGTCAGTATGGAAATCAGTAAATGGGGAACGATGTCTAGCCTTCGTGAATTTTAAAGATCTAAGGCTCTAAGAATAAGATATACTTACTTATCACATAGGTTATAGATCCAAAACAAGAGTTGATATATTCGCTAGGTTTGGTGACATTGGAATATTTTTCTCAAATGACATATTGCCAATGTCTCTAACTTGTAACGCTAGATCAGTTTGCGCGTCAGTGAGTTTTTAACGTGTCTTTTTCAGTATCAAATGTGTCAAAACATTTTCAGCGATACCTTTAATATTTAAATTCTTTTTGAAAGAAAAGACAGATACTGCAAAAGATATTTTTCAAAATCATGAAATCCGACTTCATAATGTTCATTCACCTTTTCTGCAATATATTTTTCAATGTTATAATTACATTGAGGATAAGTAAGTGATCAGACGTATTTGCAAAGTGATTCAAATTGTTTTGTTGAATATCTTATTAGCAGAATAAATTATGTTTATTATGCGTTTATGCTACTGATCATTTCAATTACTGTCTTGTTTTCTCCATGCAATTTTAAATTTAAATCACTTGATTTCGATGAAAAATCTTTACGAAACGTTTAATCACTGCGCCAAGTTTTATTATTTAAATTTGTATATTCTCAATTTCGCTCTTCGAGAAAGATATTTTATCTCTGGTAATAAATCACGAAATCACTACAGAAATTTACTTTTACGTGGCCACCTTACATCGGTTCATCATGTTGCAAATGGAAGAGATGCCGTTTGAGAGATTTCCTCGAATGAAATTAAAAACTTTGAACGTTTTGTCTCTATTTCTTTCGTATTTAATCTTTTACTTGCTAACACTTACTGGTGAATTATACAGTGGCTAACTCAACTTTGGAAATTTGTCATCATTTTGGTATTAGAGTTATAAAACCCACTTATGCGGCCTGTCATTGCTCCTGCTGCTGTCTGTTGATATTGAAATTAATTTAAAAAATAGTAGCTTCAAATTAGTAAGAAAGTTTTAAGAAAGTTAAATCTATCGAGACAGGGCAGACAATATGCGCAAAAAATAATTACTTCTTAGATGTGTAAATTTCAATTCTTTTTATGTCCACAGATGATAATTTATGCCAATAGTTTCAGTTTATCTACCGTTGTATGTATTTTGAAAGAAACAAACGTGGAGCTGACGCGAGAACGTTATAGCGCTATGATTCTCTAAGATTTATAAATTAAATCAAGAGGAATAGCTTCAACGCCTACGTTTAACAGATAGAAGTGTGTAATAGAAGTAATCTTTATCTTGTGCCGCTGTATTCAAGTAGCCTACAGAATTTCGTAGAGGTCGAAATTCTCTCCTGGATGAAGAATAAATATGAAGTCTTTCAGTTGTAATATCAGAAAATGTATCGGCCATAGGAAAAATGTTAATCTATGATAATCTGTTCCTACCAAAAAACTTAACCTTGGATCCGTAGCTATACATAAAATTATTCATGAAGAAATGCATATGAAAAAATTAGTTTGACGTTAGTTCCCACTTAAATTAACAGAAATCAAAAACCAGAGTGACTCCACTAATAAAAAAAGAACCAAATTCAGTGACCCGTTTTGAATAATTTCATTTAACAAAAAAGTAGTATAAGAATCGTTCATCTCTACAACACAGTACTAATAGCTTCGAATTGAATTAACACTTTTTAAGTATTTTTATTGACTTAAAATACTCGTATATGTATTTTTAATTATAAAAATTCGAATAAAAATATATATATTATGAAATGAAACAAAAGAACAAAAATACACTTTTTGAATAAAGTATTGCTGAACTCTTACAAGGGGGAGGGGAAGTTTGTGTTTATAACAGAGGAATAGCTCTGCCTAAAGACACAGATTCATGTTCTAGGAATTTCATTTTTCTTTTTTCATTTCTTTACTTGAAATTTTAATTTCAATTTGTTTCCTGTACATTGGCGTCTCCATCCTTTTGAAAGCATTGCCTTTGGCTTATCCTTTGGTTTTTGCTGTAGGTCGTCTATCCTTTGACATTAGTGCATCTGCGCTTGTCCACCCACGCCAATTACGATTTGTATAAGATTAAATGAATCGCACTTTTCAAGGTTTGACTGCTCTTACTATCTGGGGTACGTCCTATGGTTTACTTTCTTCAATCTCCTTTAGTTTGTAGAAATCATAATTTTCAAATTTTATTTTTGCATTTTATTGTCTGAAATGACTTTTTTAAATTCAAAGCTCTCCGATCGGGTAGATCGTATACACATGTCCAAGAATATTTTTACTGATACTTTTCAATAATTACATGTACGAACATCTTAAGATTGGTCCAAACAATTAAGGATGTTTATTAGAAGAGAAAAAGTTCAAGCATAAAAAAATAACAGTGGCATTTGAGAATTATGATCAAGAAAATACCTTACGTGATAACGCATTTTTTGAAACTTTGGACTTTTCGGGATTTGAAGGGTTAAGAAGAAAGTTTCGTGTAACCTACTTTAAAACTTCAATTGAGAGACTGATAAGTGAGCCACTTGTAGAATTTTCACTCCTCCTCAAAGACCGATACATTTATTGCTTTGCAGGAATCTACGTTATCCCTTTTAACAAAATCATTAACAGATTTTGGATGTAATAATAAAGGAAATTTGAACACTGATTGTCTTTCACTATTTTTCTTTAAGTACATTTTGAATTAAAATATCCATTCATTTAATATGTTGTATAAATAAAATTTATGTATTGTCATATAAAATATAATTAATTTTTCAGCAATTACAATCATTTTTCTGTAATTCTGTAAAAGTCATGTCTATATTCTGTACATGTTAAGTCATTCATTCTTTTCTTCTAATTTGGACCGTGAAAAAATAACATCACGTAAAATTTGTGGATATTAGAACATGTATGATTATATATGGATATTAGACATATATATATGGATATTAGATATGAAAAAGGTATTTATAATCGAACGTAGCAAAGTACTAAATAATGGGATTAATAAATTTTGGGTGACCCGTCGTAATAGTGTGCATAAGCGAAATATAAACTCGAAAATAATATTAGGAAATAATATTAGAATTTCGAAAATAATATTAGGAATTCATCAGATTATGTAATAAATGTGATTGATAAATATATCTTCAACTTCGTTTGAAGTGATACAATATTGGAAATATATGAGTGATGTTTTAACACTTTGAGCTCGGCGCCGGTGAACTTGCTGTGTGTGGCCTGCGTTGGTCCCTGGGGACAAGCACTGGAATTTTCGTTTGGCCGACGTTAGTCCCTGGGTACCGGCACTAGAATTTTCGTTTGGCTGGCATCGTTCCGCAGGACCGACAGTATTAACATTAGCGACCACGAGCTTTGTCACGCACAGACAGGGCTTGTATGTCTGTAGCCGACAAAGCTCACCAACAGATAAGCTCTACTCAGTGCATGTGTTGCTAGAGCATTTCTCCATGCCTTCATCAGCGTTACAGGTTCATTTCAACAATTCATCTGATACAGTGTGTTTGTACATTTTGGATTTTATTCACCATTCGCCTGGCGCATAACAACCTTCAAAGTTTTGTGCCATTAAAAGTCAACCGACCAACCAACTTACTCAGAGCATGAAGTCGCGGATCACCATGCAACATTGCACCTCTTGATCGCTCGCCCCGGCTGAACGGGAAGGACCGCAAATTCGGCGCCGGGCTCAACGTGTTAACAAAGCGAATAAAAAGAAGCAATTTTTATATCACTTCATTCATCTTAATCCTTTAAATCGCCTATTACGTCAATACTCTTTCCCCTTCCATTGGTGGCCAAGTGGTTAAAACTAGAAAGTTGGTAATTCATTACCAGTTCGATTTTCAGCACTTGTCGAATACGCTGGTTTCATATACAATAGTTTTCATGATATTCTTCATGTGTAAAGTAATTAGGAATGGCTGGCTTAAGAAATTACTTTAGAAAGACATCCCGTCAAACAGCTACCGATCATATGCTTTTCAGTAATTTAAGTAACTAACCAATGTCGTAATGTGTCTTAATTTATTTTAAATATTTATTTTCTGAAAGATGCGTGATAGAAATTTAATTCCTTTCTTTTTCACCCTTATTTGATCGTTTACTTTTAATTTTGGTACGTTTAATACTACTGATGTTCCATAATTTAACTTCTGACGTCTTAAGAAACTATTTGGGAAATTTTATTGCAGTTTTATACGGAAAATTAAAAACTTTTTAATTTAATAACTCCAAACAATTATTCGAACTTTTTGATTATAAAATACGGCCTGTCGTTTATATAAAAGTGCTTCTATTTTGGTAGGCCTTTTTAACTACTCTCCTGATTCTTTTCTTTCCCATTTCAGGGTCTGACGTCGAATAAAGCCCGTGAGGTGTTTGCTCGGGATGGTCCAAATGCTTTAACGCCTCCCAAGAAGACACCTGAATGGGTGAAGTTCTGCAAGAACCTCTTCGGGGGTTTCGCCCTTCTTCTGTGGATCGGCGCCGTCCTTTGCTTCATCGCTTACTCCATCCAAGCATCCACCTTCGAGGAAGCTCCCGACGACAATGTAAGATATCCAATAAAACAAATGCTAAGTAATTTTGACAAAGGAATTGATTTTCAATGTAGAATTAATATTTTGATTACTTGCTATTGAAATTTTCTTTTTTTAAATTCTTTTTTATTGGAAGAAATAAGTATACCACATTCTTTAGAATTTATAGTAATTTCGGAGACTAAACCTACTTAGTCACAGACCAGACCAGACTAAGAGAAGCTGTTTGCCTGTTTACTGATTTTTAAAAGCGAGAAAAATTATTTTTCAGTTGAGAATTACAACTGAAAAACATAAAATAAGTACTCTAAATAAATATATAAATACTGATAATATAAATTAAGTACATAAAATAGGTATACAAATAAAAAATACACTGTATATTTATGTTGTGTGTTATTTTCTCTTTTGTAATAGTCGTCTTATGTATTACAGTTCTTTTGATCTTACTACTGTTTATTAATGTATAGGATATAATTATTAAATCGAACAATTATAAAACTTGTATAGTTTGGCCCCAGTATATATTATATACTCAGTATGGAACGAATTAGCAGTTTAGGATCTTTGTGCATAGTTATGAACCATTTCTTCTGTTATGTCTTTCTGTAAAAATCTTCATTCTGCAAGATAATTTATATGTATATTTGCGTGAATTTTAGTGAGTGATATCAAATTAAGGAAATGTATTTTTAAAAATGCAGTTTGATACTTATATTTAAAAAGCACTTTTTCAAACGCATAAGATTCATATAAACCATCTTAAAAGAGAATGAATGTACTAAATTTCCCTTGAGGTGATCATAAAAACAAGAATTGTCTATTGAAATTGCCAAATATATTCTTCTGATAATCAAAATTTTGTATTGAATGCAGAAAAACATTTTTATAGTTAAGAAAAATTGAATTTTTATTATGTTTTCTTTTATAGCTGTATTTAGGTATCGTATTATCTGTTGTGGTCATAGTTACGGGTGTTTTTTCTTATTATCAAGAAGCTAAAAGTTCTAAAATCATGGAGTCTTTCAAAAATATGGTTCCTCAGGTAAGATTTATGTTATTGCATTTATATTTTCACATACTTTATATAGTGTTGTGTGCATTATGGATGATTGTTTAAAGTTTTTTTAAAAAAAGTTATTAAAGAAGTAACTGAAATTTGACTCTGACCCCTTCCATTTTTTGTGTTTATAATTCATTAGAAAAGTTTATGAAAAAATATCATAAATGCTTAGATAATTTTCAGTCATTTCGCGTATATGATAATAAGATGAAGATAAACTAAATGAACCCCTGCGTAATATTTTTTTCAAAAACATTAACAAATTTTAATTCTATGTTTATTTTTACATCGTGACTACATTAGGAAACAGAAAAGAGAAGCTGATCATTCAACTTAGGAATAGAATTTTCTTTAAAAGGCATCATATTCGAAATATTTTGTGGAAAAACGTTGTAATCTTTTATTTAACCATAAGTATAGTTGTTAGGTCATAATATGGAATGGATTCCTTTTAACAATGCAAGTCTTGGAGGAAAAGTTCATGTTTTAATCTATCCAACTTATGAGAAGCATGTCGTTATAATCATTAATTTAACATAAGCATTAAATATATTTTCAGTCATTTCCTTTATGCTAAAGAAATGTATATAAACCGCGTAATTTCAAGTAAAAAATGAAATTCGTATACTCTGACTACAGGAATAAAAATGATCATTCAAGGGAATAAGGTCTTGAAAATGCATCATATTCATAAGAAAACAGTTAATATCTAAAATAAAGTACATTGGAATATTCTAACAATGCAATATTGGAGGAAAAGTTCATGAATATCACAACTTAGAAGCATAGCAATTTATCAAATAGAACGGTAATCTCAGAAATCAAACTGAAAAATTTTTATCAACAAAATAAAAAATACTTTTTTAACAAAATTTGGAACTTTTCTTACTGTATATTTATCAAAGCATACATAAACAGTAATAATAACCAAAAGGAAAAAATTCAAATTTATATTTATTTTCTATCTGAAATCTAAATTTTGGTACCTGCAAGACAGTTTTGTTGCTACACTTTGTAATTTAAGCATACATTTAAGCATTAAAGCTAAATATTAATATTTAAATAGCTAAATATTAATATAGCATTTATTTCAAATAATTTTAATACGTTTAATTAATCATTAAATAGCTTATAAATCTTTGCAACATGCAAGAAATATATAGTTGAAATGTATTCGCTGGTCGCATAAAATTGCTTCAAGAATCACGTGCCGGACTCAGTTTAACACCAAGATAAACAATTCTGATTCTTTATCTCGAGGTTTCTTAAACTTTTTTTCAGTCGCGACCCCTTTTTATCATGGAGATTCTTTCGCAACCCCCCAGAACCTCATAATATTCACGAAACTTTTGTGGGACCCCACAAGCATTGCGTAAATTCGACACACGCGTGTGTGAAATTGTCAATTTTTTCATTTGTACTGTAATATACTATTGCAGTTTTAGGTCATTAACTTTAATTTCTAATTTTAAGACATAGAATAATGTGAACATTTTAAATAAGTAGCAGACGAAATGACAGCGTCACGTGCAAAGCAAGTAAAATGAACATTTCTATTATAAAAAGAATGCATTGAAACGTTTTTCTTTGTCTGTATTGTCTTTATCTATTTTCAGATACCTTGTGTAAAAATATTTGGTAGTTGTAAAATTATTATAATAAGATAAAGAAATATCAAAATCGCTAAATGTTTAGGCGACCCCCCTGCTGCAGGTTCCGCTACCCTCAGTTTAAGAAACGCTGCTTTATCTCATCAATTTATTCACTGTATAGATCTTATAGCATAGGTGTATGTCATTAAGTAAATATTGTGCTTTTGCAGAGTTTATTTATATTAAGCTGGCAACGATTTTGGTGACTAATTTATGTCCTCAAATCGCCAAAAGTCTACAAACTTGGCCACATTTTGGTGCGGTCCCTGTATAACTGTAATGGATATTTTAACTGAATAACTGTAATTATATAACTGTAATTATATATTAATAACTAACTGTTAATATATTACTAAATAACTGTAATTATATATTAATAACTATGTGTAACTGTAACCGTATTCGGCCCTCACATGCCTTCCAGTAATTTCGAGAAGCAGAAAGTACTAGAAATATCTCGGCGGCCGGGTTAAAAACCCTATAAGACCGGAGAGAGTATCAGTTTCTTAGTTGTTTAGTTCAACGTATGTTCAGAGTATTGAGATATCTTTGCTTGAGCTTTCTTGTTAGATGCGCTTTGCATTTCATAGTGTTTACGTTCTTAGAAGTTTGAAGAGTAAATATTGACTGCAATCTGCGATACTGTGAATAGCTATACTACTATTTTTCTAGGAATTTCCACAACTGTCAAGAGTTTCTTTGGATAAAATAAATTTTATCAACCATCATCGGTTCTGTGCGCATTCAATCTATAACTAACTCGTACCCATACAACAATATATATATATATATATAGATATATAGATATATATATAATATAAAAAAATACGATGGCTTTGCTGTACGCAAACACGCAACCTCCAATTAACTTTCCGCAATTATTTAGGGTCTTCCCCCTAGACCAGGGGTCGGCAACCTGCGGCTCTTTTGATGTAAACTTGCGGCTCTCCAGTTCCATAAGGAAAAACGAATAATTTATTATCAAAACCCTTAATAAATAACAAAATATATTTTAAGTACCTAATTTCTCAATAGCTTCTATTTTCATAATCGTTAATTAGGCTTAACATGATCGTAATGAGATAAATTTGAACCATTGTTACTGTACTGTTAATTTAAACTAGCTCCGCCGTCAGCATGGCAGATGGTAAAAAAAAAGAGAACTGAAGAAGAAAACAGAGAATTCAATCAGGATTGGGCGGAGTCATTTGCATTCATATGCAACACAGATGCCTTCCGAGTTCTCTCATTTGCCATCAAAAACTCGCACACATTAAAAAGTTGAATTTGAGGAGACACTTCACTACAAAAGATACCTAGCTTGCTGGTAAATATCCAACTGGGGACGCACGAAAAAAGCTCTTGAAGAGTTAAAAAAAAAGTTACGTGCTAAGTAACTGGATGCAATCTTCCAATAATGTAAATCTGCCAAGCTCTGCAGTATCATTAGAAATTGCAAAATGAGTAACCCTTCATGTTAAATACGTCAAAGATTATTTTATATGTGCATCTAAATAACTGTTTCTTGATATCAAAATCAAAGCAGAAATCAGGAAAAAAAATCAAAGATTTGCCATTATTTGCAAAAGCAGTACAAGATAGAACTGCTAAGATGTTTTCAAATGTAACACATATGCAAGTGAAAGACATTCAGCCGGCTTCTGCCTTATCACTTGCTATAGATGAGTCTTGTGACATAAAAGACACGACACAAGTTACCCTTTTCGTAGGGTATATGTCCAAACGAAGAACTGTAGGATTGCTATCGCTCTCAGGACAAATTCTCGTGGAGAAGATATAGGAAATGATTGTGCAAAAATGCCTGGAAGACAATGGAATCGATATAAATAAAATCGTTTCGATAGCAACTGGTAGAGCCAGAAGTATGACAGGAATACATATAGGGCTAGCATCAATTCTTCAGAAAAAAGTAAACCATGAAATTCTAACGTTTCACTGTGTAATTCACCAAGAAGCGCTTTGTACCCAAACATTTCCGGCCGAAATAGTTGAGATCATGAACTTGGTAATTAAGATTATTAACAGCATTTTGTAAAAGCATTCTACCATCATCAGTTCAGAGATTTCCTTGAGAGATAACCAGTTTTCTGACCAACTTCTGCACAATAAAGTGTGGTGGCATTCCAGAGGTAAGTTATTGCAACGTTTTACTTTGTGCTTGTGTGAAATAAAAATATTCCTCAATGAAAAAAGCATTGACCATCCCGAATTGGAAGAAGGCAAAAGTAACCACAATGAAACTAAATGAGCTAAATCTAAAACTGCAAGAAAAGGGCAACCCAGTCTACGTCTTGCTTGAAGAAGTAGTTTGTTTCGAAAACAAATTACTTATTTATGTTTAAGACATGGAGAGCGGTAAATTAATTCATTTTAACCAATGCGACTATTGACACGAATTACTTCAACATAGTTTTAAATAACATGAAGGATGGATTCGTTGAGAGATTCGAACAATTCAAAGCAAACAAAAGTACTCTTGAGTTCATAGTAAATCCTGACAACGCAAATACAAATGATATCAACAATGAGACATTTGGAATTGATGCTGGATCGCTTCAAATGCAACTGCTATATTTGAAAATTAAAGACTTGTGGAGTGGCATGTTCACAGAACTCAAGAGCAAGTTGGAAGAGTTGGAGGTCCAGAAAGGCATGCACATCGAGCAGTGAGGTGAAGAAGTTGGCATAAGAAGTACTGACGATCTTCGGATCGACATATTCGTGCGAGCAAGCTTTCTCTTGCATGAATATAATAAAATGTAACGCTTGAAATCAACTAACAAATAAAAATCTAGAGTTGTGCTTGAAACTTAACAGGTTACAAGCCAGATTAGTCAATCATTCAAAAGGCATGCAAAGCCAATGCTCTAATTGATGTAACTATCTATATTTGTGTTTATATATATATATATTATTCCGTTTTTAAAGCCGTTAATTTGAAGTAAAAAATCAAATACATATAATCAAAACTATAATATTGAAACGAAACTTTTTAGTGGCTCTTTAAAAACTGGGAAATTTTGTAAATTACAACGTTTGGCTCTTCCGTTTCAATAGGTTGCCTACCCAAACACACACACACACACACATATATATATATACATATATATATAGTATATATATATATGTAAAAAAATAAACAATATGTAAAAGATAAATTATAATTTAAATAGCAGCATAACACTGTATTCTAAAAATAATAATCTCTCTCCGCATTACGTCATTTCGAAATTAATCCATGTCATATGATTCTTACGTAATTATGCTGATGTAAATGGAAACTCAAACAGCTAATAATAATTTTACAGC